GTTGGCGTAGGATGGCGTGGTGGCCTGTCCGTTCCCCAAGTGGCGACTTGCTTTGGCCAAAATGAGTCTCAGCTCACTCGATTATCATCTCTTGCGAGAGTTTCGGCCCAATAAAATTCGAATGTGTGGCTAAGTCTCGTCAAATGAACCGTAACTTGGGAATCGTCATCATTTCGCCGCACTGCTACCGCGTGTTCGGCAATTCGCGTCTTGAGAAGTCTACCAGTTACTCCGACGTAGTTACTGCCCGCAAATTAATGTCAGACTGGCTGACCAGTAGCTGCTGGGATACAGCCGTGATTTTCTCGTCTGGCTAGGTACGGCGTGTGCCAACTTTCTTATACAAAGAAGTTCACCAGCTTCAAAGGGGATCTTCTAAAAATTAGACAGCCTAGTTCTGATAATTCTTCAGCTAGTTTCTGTAGGAGTACACCCCGGATCTCATCCGGTCCAGGTGACTTGGCTGTATCCAAAAAAACAGTAGCTGCGATGTAATTAATACTGTGTCTGTTAGTGGTTTCGACAAATTCTGACAGAGAACAGGGCTGTAGAGCTTGTCCCATGGTATAGACGCTTTGGAAAGGTTCTGAAAGTAGCTCGGCTTTTTGGAGGCCATTGTTAACCATTTGGTTGTTTTTGCCTTTAAAAGTTGGGAAGTGGTTGCGCTTCTTCCTACTACTTCTGGTGTGTGAAAAGAATGTTTTGGCTCATTCACAACCAAGGGGCTCGGTCCATGTGATGGTCATTCAACCATGACTATAGCTTTGATCCCTGTGCTAACCGAATCCAACAAGCATCTCAGTTGGTCTTCGAAGCCAGTTGAGGCTGGCCAGAGTATCTTTCAAATGCCGTTATTGGTGCACAGTACTTGTACTTAATCCGATTATATCCTGTTGTTGGATGAATCGGCTTCATGGATGTCACGGATAGCGGCGGCGCATATACGGCGATCAGAAGCGAGCTCCTCGCAGATGTCAACCCAGTGCTTGTTCCATTGTCGCAAGACGTAACCAGTTACGAGGCCCATGCTTTCGACGTCCGACTTGACAGCGTTGAGCCACTACTTCAGCTGACCGCCATGTCCGCATCTCCAGTTTGCACTACTG